CCTCGGCGCCCGGGACGCCGAGCCCGAGCACCCCGCGCGGGATCGTCCCGATGCTCTCCGGCAAGGCCCTCAACAGCTCGGGCCATGGGAATCTGAACATCGCCTCCCCGAGCACCTCGAATGAGACCAGCGGATTCTTGTGCTCGGTCCCGGCGGGGACCCAAAACGGGGGCTTCAACTTCGCCCATCCCCATTTCGCTGGAAGCAACTCCCACGGCGTCCTTACTGGTTCGATGAGCCGAAATAGTCCAAAGTAGACCTTTTCTTAGTTGGAGCATGTCGTTTTATTTTTTTTCAGAGAGGAGGGGAAGCCAAGAAACCTTAGTGAACATAGTAGATTCTAGCAGGATTTGAAACAATCATGTTCCATTGAATTGCTAGCTCTATTTAGGCGGCGATCCTAGAGTTAGACAAAATTAAGTGGATAGCATAGGTTTTTTTTTAGGTGTGTGTATGTGTGTGTTAGGTTGAGGAGGGGGAGGGGGGGGAGGGATACTACAAGATTTTCTTATCTTAGAATGAGTATGTGGGGACAAAAGGACGAAAATCTTCGCATTGGTCCATGTGGAAATTATTTAGCTTTGCTTATGTTAATAATTCTACGTTTTTGTGCCCACTTCAAATTTCTGATACCTTATTTCAGTTAATCAAACGAAATCAACAATACATGAATTCGGTAAGATTTATCTGGGTAACGAATCCATCTACCTTTTTTACTTTTTATATTAGGGTGGAGGAGTGAATACAAATGTATTATTTATAAAGAAGCGAATAAACCCTAATTCTTATCGAAAAACGGTTTTAGGCTTCTCATAAGTGCCTCAAATAACAAATTAAATAACACCTAAGTGTGGGGAAATGCGTTTAGATTTAGCTATGATAATATATACCACGCTAGTATATTTCTGTTACACGCTAAGAATCTCGATTCTTGTGCTATTTAGGCTAGATATCAATACTAAAAATGGGAGTATTCCTGTTTATCCTTGAAAATAGGATCGATGACTTTGTTTTTAACACCCAATATTAAATTTACTACGCTTTTCAATAGGTATTGGTAAAACACATATCTAAAAACATGGTTAGTTTTTCAAATTCTACTATACTTGTTTTTCTTTCCTATGCTTTGAAATCGTTTATCCAGATATGCTCTTACGATTTTAGTAATGAAAAACATAATTTGTCTACACCAAAGGAAGGGAAAGCTTTTTTTAAAATCCGTTTTTAGTTGTTTTCTTGTTGTGGTTAGCTTAATGTGATAATTAAAAGTCAACGGAGAATGAGATGAAACGTGTATATATATATATTTATGAAACGTACTGAAAAGTGTTTTCAAAATGGAACCTATGCAATTGTCGAAAAAATGCATCTCGCTCTACTTAGATGTGTTTTTATATAAGTTTCCTATTGCTCTATGAATTTTTAGACTCGTCTAAGGATTAGCAGAAGGAGAGAACATTATTTCCTTTCGCGTCTATTTTATTTTGAATAATCTTTACATTTCCACACCGGTCGTTTTTGTTCTTTTATTATTTTGTTTTCTTTTTCCTCGGTAATAGACACAAAAAAAATTCAGCAGAGCGTGATATTCTAATTGGAACATTTTTATATTTTCACCTGCCGAACTAAAGCAGTATATCATATGTTCTCAAATTGTTCTGCAATAATCCGTCATTTGCTTAAGAAAGCATTTAAGTTATAATGTAAGAGGTAGTTTCCATCTTGTTGTATAGGCATTTCTTTACCTATGTTTAATTGAATACCTTGCACAGAAGTGATTATTTAAATGAATAAAAAAATGCCTGCTTCAAGATTGCTATAGGAAAATAAGGAAAAAAAAGGTGCTTAATATGGGTGCCTTGATGCTTCATTAGCTTTCACTAACCCAGGTTCGTTATTCATTTATTCAATGACACTTCATATATATCCAATGGACATGCTTTCACTGTAAAATCAAAAAAAATTCCAGTTCCGTATTTGATGAAACCTTCAGTTTCTTCTCAATGTTCTCTTACTTTTGCACGTTGCAATAATGTTTTCTGTTGTATCGCTAAATTGAGAGCAATATCACTATCCTTCCTGTATGTCCTTCCTCCCTCCTTTTATTTACTCTTACGAGTATTCTTCAACGGTGTTTTTAAATCCAACTTTAGTGGGAGATAATTATGATAGATATCTTGACAATTTGATTTCATTTGGTACCAGTGTGTTTGCTTCCATTGGACTGTTTAAAATTGCTGTTTCTATAGAATACATAAATATATTTCTTAGCCTTTCTATATTCCAACAAAACTCTAGATTATATTATTTCAGCATCTAAAGTATAATCTCTGATTAGGGCTGTATTTGTTGCATATTCATTTTCATAGCATGCATTTCTTGGATGGTTTTCTCGGCAAATAAAAGAGAAACATAACCCAAACATCCGTCTGGGAAAGAACGATGCTCAAAGAAGGTGAAGCTCGGGATATCCTTTGCGATGCACCCGTTCAGTGCTTTGCTGTCACCACCGATTACGTGGTTTGGGTGGATTGCGGCACCAATTGCCTGTATATTTGGACTCGCAGCAGCGGGCAGGATATCCAGATGCTCACTGAACTCGAGCCTTGGTTTAAACCTTGCCGAATGATGGCTTCGGAAGACGGCTGTTTGGTGTGCTATAACGAGGTTGGTCACGTGAACTTTTACACGATTGACATCCTGCAAGATGTGCCGCAAGCAGATCTACAAGGCAAGAGTTGGGAACCGGTGGATAGCAGCCACAAAGCTTTCGATGAACCGCCTCCGTTATCCCATCACAATGGAGTGATTAGTCGAGAAGAGTGTAGTATTCTACAGCGATGGTCACTGCGGCTGTCTGCCTCTGAAGCCCTATCGCATGTTGACATCGCCCCGGACGGCTTGCTCACCGCACTCTCCACTTCAAGGCATCTTTTACTTGTTTTGCGATCACCCGAGGGCGATACCGGGGGTTCTTTTCCATGTTTAGGTGCTGATGGCCTTGTTTCAATAGAAGGTGAGGTCGCTAACTACTCATTTTTATCATCGCATGCGTTGTTTAATCGGGAAATTAGACGTGTTCCTGGGGAGGGGGGATGCACGCGGACCTGCTTCCTATCTTCGGATCGTATTTGCATTCTATACGCGGACAATCAGCTGATTTCGGTTAAAATTCATTTAGATGATGACTTGCACCTCACAACTAGTTTTCTACAAGATGGTCATATTATCACAAACAAACACACTGTCGTCGCCATGGCTGCAGGGTGTGTCCAGGAGTCTTTGCTCGTGTTAGGGCTTTCGAACGGGTCAGTCCACGTGTTGCATGCGGAACGCCTGGAGGTGTTCAAGGTATTGGACACTCAAACAATGCTCGCAGGTTACTTCTACCGGTCTCTTTCGAATGTGTACTCTAGTAAGCACATGAGGACTCAATCAAGGCGATCGGATCCACCCTCTTGCACCCCTACTGCCGCCGTTGGCAAGGGGCAAGAGGCGCGTGAGCATGCCGCTGCCCTCGCGCGATCCTACGCCTCTGCGATTTTAGATATTACAGTGGGTAATTGGATAACGATTGCAACACCGCGCAGTGTACTGTACGTTGATCGGCACACATTTTTGCTGAGCGAAGAGGGGGTACAGTCCGTCACTGGGGCTGATCTATGTGACCCGTTTAGTCTTGGGCTTGACGATTCGGGTACCGAAGGTAGTTCGAGAATTGAAATACATTGTGCACCAAACGGCAGCTGGAGTGCCTGGTTTATGGAGGGCTTAACTCTCCGATATTTTAGTTGTAATGGGTTATCTTTTCAGCCTTCCCTGCTACAATGGGTGCCATGGGGATACGCGCAGGACGCTCAAGGAGGCGAGATGAACGTGGTGCACGCCAAGGGGCCGCTGCCTCGAACCTGGCTAAGCCCTCCGGTTGGGCCTGAAGTGCCGTGCGCCTCACTCAGGGCAGTGAAAAGCAGCAACTACACAGAAGCACCATGGTCAGTTCAGCAGGAACGCAAGCGGAAGCTCAAGGCGAGGGCTGAACCCAGAACCGGGGGCTTTCCTTCTGCTGCGCTGGAGCCCCTCATGTACAAGCCACGTTCGCCATATGAGGCGCACCCCTTTGTCGCCGCAAACACCGCTAATCGTGTGGTCGCCACACACGCTCATGTGCATCAAGCGGTGGTGCGGTCGAACTGTTTTACTGCAAATGGAAGTGGGTTGATTACCACAAGCGGGGACCGGTCGGCGTACTATCTCAAGCTACCACTAAGCCGGCACCAGGGCGATGGGACATTCCTGCGTGCACACACCGCGGCCGTCCTTTCCTCTAGTGTCAATATGTCTCTGAAAACGCCCTTGGTTGCAACTGGCGGTGCGGATGGCATTATTCATGTTTGGAAGCCCACCGCGTGCGATGGGCCGTTGCTTGCATACACATTACCCAAGAGAAACGAGGACGTGGGCAACGGGGCCGGCGAAATCCGCGCGGTGCGGTTTTATTACATGGACAAGTTCTTGTGTTATACCAACCAAAATTTGATGATGTTGTCGCAGCACACGCTCGGCAAGGACCAAGTGGTAAAATCTCCATGGCCAACCCCGACATTAAGCAAGGGGCATCCAGGTAAGATGCGGGGCTGCAACGTCAGCAACGGCGCCCAGAGGACCCCCCCGCGTATTTTTGATCCCATCTTTACATACGCCATTAAAGAGGCCCAATACATCACAGCCATGGATTGTATTAATCACTTCGTCAGTACGTTGGTGGTGTTGGCGAGCTCGAACAAGCAGATTTGTGTGCTAGACCTCACTGCGGGGGCCCCACTGCGTGTGATGAATGATGCCCACAGCAGGCAAATTCATCACGTTGCGATGTGCTCGGGAAGTCGTTTTGCCGGCAACGCCTGCTCTCTAAGCGCACAGCATCTCTTTGCGACTTCAGGGTTGGACGGTGCCGTGTATGTGTGGGATCTGCGCCAATCGCGACCGGTGCGGCAGTTCGCGTTGCACAAGAACCAAGCGCTGCCGACCCTGGGCCTGGCGTTTTCGCCAGATGGGAGTATGCTGGGGGTAGGTAGTGAAAACGATGCGGTGTATGTTTACGACGTTGGGATGGGTGGAGGAGCCGTTCCCTTGGATAAGCTATCTTGCCCCAATGTTCCCACTGCAATCGCGTGGCACCCTGTCGAACCTTTAATGGCGGTCGGCTTGGCTACTGGACAAACTACGTTTTTTATCCAACGCTAAAGGCGTCCCCTTTCGCAAGAGTGTGTCTGTGTGGAATAACACTAAATGGTTGCGCGAAGTAAACGGATAAAATTTTTAAATGACGAGCTTGTATTTCGATCGATCAAGGTGTTGGTCCAACTTATTTACCTTTCTATTATCACTGTTGGAAGAGTCAGCGCAAAAAAACTAATTTCACCCAGAATAGCAGTGTTTTGTTTTCCTGTGTAGAACCCAAATAAATAATACTTCTGATGTATTTCCATTTAGTGCACACCTTTAGCTGTTCGTATTTCCTTGCACGTGGTGGTGGGAAGAGGAAACAGTCTATTAGCTTTATTATTTAACGGTCTCTGTTACTTTCAATCTTATTACCCCTTTCCCTCCCCCCATCCATTCCCTCCGACAATAGTATTAAT